CTCGCCCTGGCCACGGTTCAGCCCCGCTGGGCCGCTGGCGCTTCGTGGCAGAGCAGCAGCGAGGGACAGGGAGCCAAACGGTGCCAGGAGTGTCACCGCTCGCTTTAACCGAGCTCCTCTCTCCCTGCGGCCAGCACCGACCTGCAAGCGCTCGCTGTGGGAAGGACTCGAGCAGAGTCAGCGCCCAGAGACACAGGAGCAGGGTTAGCTCTTTCCCGGGCTGACCTCGGACCCGACAGTGTCACACCACAAACATCCCACAGCAACCTGCGTGAGGCTCCTCAAAGCTCTGGTGTAACCAAAGGCTGCCTGAAGCTGGTTGTTCCCTGCTCCAGGAGAGAACAGCCAGGCAAAGCAGTTCCTAGGTTACACGGCATCCTCCTTTACTGACAGGTGGCTGAGAAATCTGTTTCACAAATCAGTGTGTTCTGATGTTCTTACAGCTCTGATGTGTCTCTTCTGTATACCTGCGGTGTGAAGATTTCTAAAAGAAAAATGCAGCTCTGGACATACGGGAGCGGGGAAGAGTGAGCAGAACATTTTGCATTATTAACTTCACTATAGAAGTGTGACTTTTATTTTTGTTTGAATAGCTTTATCTTTTGGCAATGCAAGATTCCCAAGGGCTACAGAACTGTGCCTAATGCAGCTAGAGCAAGGGCTCCCTGTGACCACAAGTGTGGTCATTTACACCAAGATTGGGCAGAGAGTAAGTGGTGAGTGTGTGGTGAGCAGCAATGAAAGAATTGTGGAAAGAGGTACTGCAGAAGCACTACTGTGTACAGGGACAGTGTTATCCCCAGAAGAAATCAAGGGAGCACAGTCATGAAATGTTTAGAGCAAAGCAACAACCTCTACAGTTGCAGCCAAAAGGAAATGATTGTTTTGGTGGGTTTTTTTAAATATAAAAGCCCAACAACAAATTTCTGTGAAATTAGGAAAAAAAGGTTCATTTCCCATCTCTAAATTATACAGAGATAGGCCCCCAGAATAAGTGAAGCAGAATAAAGATGATTTTTCAGGCTTCCTGAATAATGACAAAAGGCACAAAGACCAAACACTCAGCAGTTAAGTGTTATGGGAAAAGCTTTCACATGAAATCTGCAGGGCAGAATTAAAGGCCATTTCAAGAAATGTGCACTTAAAATACCACCAGGCAGAAAGGGATCTCAGGCTTTGCCCTGGTGTGGGTGTCTTGCCTCACTTGTGGATAACTCATCACATCTACAGTGACCACAATTACTTCTGTGATCCTATGTGTGATGACATAATATTCCTTCAGCAACCACAGTTATTAATGCAAGTTTCTTGGTGAAAAATAATACAGCAAGGGAGAAATCACGCTGCTGGTTCATACACGACCAAAATCTTGGCTGAACTTCTTGCATCCAGTATTTTAAATAAATTTGCTTTCAAGTTCTGATATATTTCTATTCAGGAAGAAAAAAATTTTCATTACTGTAAGCTTAAAAACTCAAGAGGGCAAAACAATATTGGGAATAGTATCAGCTTTGAGTTTCGTTGTTTCAATTAACATTCTGTTACTACTCTCATACTACAAAAAGATTGGCACTGCATCTCACACAGAAACAGTTTTTGTTCAACTGAGGCATCATTACTTCACTCTCCCACCATCTCCTTGTGCAGTCTTTGGAATTGCAACTCAAAAAAAAGGCCCAGAGGAATGGTTATGGTTCCGTTATTTTGGCAACTCATTACTGAGACCTTGGAGCAAATACAGTTTGTCTTTATTGCACAGTGACTGCTCAGGTGTGTTGAGGAGATCACTTTCACAGTCTATAGGTGGGTAATGTTACTCCACAAGTGTTAGAACTGTAACAGTACTGAAGCACCAAAAGCCAAACATTAGCTCCAAAGATGTACTTTATTTCATTATAAAGCAGATTGTTGAGGCATTATTTCTTTTTGTGAACATCCACTGTATGACCTGCTCTGAGGACATAGCTGCTTGATAAGACAGAGCTTTACCACTAGACAACGAAAACACAGATGCACAGAACAAGTGCTGCTTAGACACTGAAGACTGAATGGTCTAAACTGCAACCAGTTCAAACAGATGATATGACCAAAAACACAAGCACAGCTCCAGCCCAGCCAGAGCTGTGTGCCCAAAAGTGGAGTTTTTTATATCAAAACAAAGTTTGTATTGGGCTTCCTGGAAAAACAACAACAACAAAATCCCCAAAGCAGAACCACACCACGCTCCTTCCCTCTCCTTACAAAGTCATCTCTAACCTGACCCTGATTCACATCACAGTGTGCAGGTGGTGCACTAGTACTTAATGAAAAACAGAAAAAGGACAGAATGTAGTGTGAAGCAACAGAGGATGGCTGACAGTGAACATTGCATGGATACTTTAACCCAATACTTTTATTCCTTTTCCAGTGGTGATCCTCACCCCAGGAGTTTGGCTTTCACTGATGGGGAAATCTCATTCCACATTTGCAGGTTTCTCACACAGGTATCTGAGCTCAGGGCCTTAAGAAGGATTTCTGGATGTCATCTGTGCTCCTTGGGTCCATACCAGAGTCCCACTGCTCCGAGCAGAAACAGTGACTCGTATACTTGTCAGCCCAACATGCAAAAATGCAGCTGATGCAGTGTAGAGAAACATTCCAGCATTACAACTCCTCATTCTGTTTTCCACGTTGTCAAATACTGATTGAGGAAAAGTGTATTTACAAGACTCGTACGCAAATATTTGCATTTGGTCCTAGGCACCTGATTAGTCCTGACAGTTGGAACTGCAATGGAAAATTAAGTGTTATTCTGGTCCTTTAAAGCCTTTACTGTAACCTCTCCAATCTGAAGGTGTGATCTCCACAAAGGAGGCGCCTCAATACCTTCTGAAAAAGTATTTTCCTATGCATCATTCAAATCCATGAGATTATAGGATGGAAATGCCTTCCACATAACTCCTTTACTCTACACATCGAGGAGTTATCTGACAAGGGACTCATATCTAGATCCACAGAAACAGACAAGTAACATATACTCTTTCCACACTCCTTTGTGACAATGAAACTCAAAATTCACTAGATATGAGTAGTCAGATAACATCCTGATTGCTACAAGACCAGAATTCATTACCAAGGAGAGAAACCTTGCTCTAGCAAAGAGCACAAGCAGATTTGCATCTAAGCAGCCACAACACCCATTTCTTTCAGCCAGCATCAGAGCTAGAAGTGCTGTCACTAATGGCAAGGAAAACTAATTAGAAGGTTTTTTACAAAGCTGCCTGTATGACCAAGTTTCAAAGTAGCAATTTCTAGGCACAGACTCTGGCAGAATCTAGATTGACCTGAGTTTTCTGCTTATGGAGGAGAGGTGGTGGAAAAGGACACATTCCTTTCCTATACAGAAACATGACAACAGTCTCAAGCCAATACTGAACATCTGACAAGGTCTAGCATTGTAATGACAAGACAAAACATTTGGAATTAGAGATATCATTTAGTAAAAAGAAACAACTGCCTTCCAAATCTGCCATACTGAAAAAAACCCCAAACATGTCAAAAACTGTTTGTGCTTACAACCATAATTATGGAACTTGAGCATTAGATGGAGAGATTTTTCTCACCATTTCTGCACAGGTGCTGCAAAAACAAGTTAAATGGAAAAGAATCCCTTCCAAACATTCATTTAACAAACAGTTATTAAAACCTGTAAAGGCTTCAGGGTACTAAATTTGAAAGGGGCTCAAAAACATTTCCAGAGTTGTTGAACTAAACCCAAGTCAGAAAGGTGACCCTCCTAACACATAATTAAAAAACAGTTTTCTTAAAAAAAATTTTTTTGCACATTTTCCTCATCAATTTATAAAATGCAAACAGTATGCTAGAAAAGTCTGAACATAAGGGAATGTGCTTTGGAAACATTATTAAAATATGTGTTTCTATAGAATGACATTATCAAGTTTATGATACTTCTTTTCACTTGACTGGCTACACTTTGAGCACGTCCCTCCTCTCTTTCCTGGGTCCACGAGGAGCTAGGTTTAGAAAAGAAGAGCTCCCATACTGCCAACTTCACTCTGTTCCTTTACAAAAATTTCAAAGTACTGATAAATGATAGTGACAGCAAGCAAAATTCCAGTTCCAGACCCAATGGCCCCAAGGAAGTCTGCCAACACGGAGAGGGCACCGATACAGAGCCCTCCAAATGCAGCAGCTGTAGGGATGTACCTGTAACACACAAAAGAAGAGGAAAGGGACCATTAGACCTGCTCAGGGTATTAACAAATACACTAGGGTTAGTGGCCTATGGGATCTATGGAAAGCATCTGTATCAGAGGCAGGTTGTTCCTAGAAAAGCAATCCCACCAAAACCAGAAAGACAACTACAGAGATCATCTAATCAGGTGGTTAAAAAAACAAGATTAAACTGCATGAATGGAAAAAAGTCAATGGCAGACTACTCTCTTCTCTTATGGGTCTACAACCCAAGGTAAGGATGCAAGAATGCCAGTACACTAGGTAAGGAAATGAAAAGCTCAGCCTGACTGGAGGGGAACAGAATGCTATGCTGATAGAAGGTATCAGACTACCCTGCAATTAAGCACAAAGATTAAACTAATGGCTACTGGCTCTTCAAGTCTTCTGCAGATGACTGAAATCTAAAGTTACAATAACAGTTCTGTGACATGAAGGGTACAGAGGTCCCACCCTGAAATTCAAAAACCTAAAGACACCAATCCCTGCCTATCTCTGCACCCAGGAGATTTAAGCTGTTTTAGAAGCAAGGTTTGTGTGAAAACAGCACTCAAGACTAATCACATCTGAAAAGTTATAAAATACTTGTGTGTCAGTTTGAAGTAGTGAAGTACACTCAAATGCTCATTACTAGCTACCCTGCAAAAAGTATATAAATGAAAAAATATAACAGGATAATACAAGCTCCAGAATTTAAGGGCAGTTTTGTAATTGTAAGACAAGAATAAGCTGCACTGTGCAAGTCTTCTATTAACGAGACAACATCCTATGTCTCATGCATGTAACATCGAAGCTGACAGAGTATCTGTGTTCTAGGATCTAGAAAATGGAAGTCAAAGCAAAATTTGCCATGTGTTTGCCCATAACACTTTGCATAAACAGCCAGGGAAACGTGTGGCTCACCTGTTGAGTTCATGTACCATTGAAGTTTCTCTGTGGCCTCGCATTACCATTTGTTGTTCTTTCAACTGCTTGGCAACCTGCATTGAATCAAGGTATGGAACAAGTAAGGTTAGAGTCATTTGCCAAGGTCAGGGAATGCAGTACTCTGGGAAAACAGAAGCAAAACATTGCAGTAAATGGTGGCGAGTTTGAGCATTTTTTTGGTTTGGGTTTGGATTGCTTTTGACATTATCCACCCGAGTTTAAAATCCCCAGTATTTTAACTTCAGACAGACTGCACTTTTCTGCCTGTCAGTTACACAAAGCTTTATGGATAATTCTAGTCCTATTGAGCAAAGGAAAATTTGGAAATTGGTAGACTCTTTACAGATTATTCAATCCATGCCCTGATTGGCATTTAGTGGATGTTAGCAAAACCATCCTAAGAAGTGTCCATCCTGTTCCAGTTTCCCACATCCAGCTGAACCAACTACTTATTTGTGGGGCCATACTAGAAACTGGACTTAGAATCCCTTCTTGGAACATGAGTTTTAAATTGGATTTCTGCAATTGTACAGGGTTACAACAGAGCCCTTTGCAAACATTTCAGTAACAACTGCAGGTAACAAACTCTAGCAGGGGAACTTCTGAAGGAGCTCATCACTGATTCCATGTACTGAGAAAACACTTTCAGATAGTTAAGCTGTCAGTTTTTCACTCTATAAATAATGATTTATCAACTTTTATTTCTAATCTTGTTTTCATGAACTGAAAATAATTTTACTTTGTATCAGGAATGTCTATTACTGTGTTAAAAACTGTATGTTGGCTTATTCTGAAATAAAAGCCTGACTATACAAGGCTGTGAGTGCCTCCCTGCATGCCTGACAGGCAGCAGGATTCAAGTTCAAAACAAGAGAGTGCTCACGCTGTTAGTGTAACTGTGCAACTATCACATCTTTGTAAAATAATGGATGAAACCATTCCACATGGCTGCCAAACTTGATTTCCTACCAAAACTCACACAATACAAACATACCAAGATGACAACTATTTTCCATCTTGTTTTCCAATGCCAGTTTCAGAATTATATAGTTCCTGGATATTAAATATCCTGTAGCAAATGGAAACCTTAAGAAGCTAGGCTCAGGTACACTGCTGCACTGTATTTGCTGTTATTGGTGCTCTCAAGTTAAAAAGAACAACTTCCAGTTAATGTTTCCACAAAAGAAGCTCTGAACTCTCCATGCCAGGAATGGCTATTCAAGCTTTACCTTCAGGTCCTTAAGTGGCAACATGGTGCACCTGTCATGGCACTGAAAGAGTTTCTGCCTCTCCTGTTACCTTGCCTGCTCTCACACTGATCAGATCCTACATAGTTTCTAAGTTATTAATTTCTTAATGGCAATGAAAGGAATTATTTGAGCTTTGATGTTTTTTTCAAAAAGCAGTAAAGAAAACAGGGAAAAAATGACCCCCATTCTGCCTTCATCCTGCCCATTTACAAAAAAGACATAGTCACTGCTTACACAAACAATACTACCAACAACATTACCAGCAGAACAGCTATCTCGGAATAAAGAGTCTGTTTTCATCATGCAAGCTTACATAACTTGCCACTTGAAACTTACATCTTTGGCAGAGGAGCCAGAGACTTCAATCCAAGTCTTAGAGAAGAAAGCACAGGAGCCCAGCATAAATACAATATAAACAACTGCATGTACAGGGTCTTCCAACACTGAAGAAAAGGACTCTGGAGGTGACAGGTAATAACAGAGTCCACCAACAGGATAAGCACGAGCAGGGCCTCCAGAGGATGCATCCTGGAAGAAGGAAGCAATCAGTCACCAATTTGCACTGGTTCTTAGCCATTAAGCTAAGTCTTGGTTTGTATCACCTTCGTGTTACTGTGTATCATTAATACTGCAACAGCACACAAAGACTCCGCCTTACTACCCCAAGCAGTTTCTGTAAGTAGAAACGGAACACAGTAATGAACAGCAAAGCAAAGAACAGCCTCAGGTAAAGGGACACCTAACTTCTACATTCATCACAGCAGGTCTCATATACTACCATTAATTTAAACAAATTACTAATTTAGGAGTTTCAGTGTGCATGACCAGCTGTGGAAGTGTCTTTAAATTCAGAGACATCTCTCCAACCACAGATTTAACAACACACATAAAGCTGTGTGCAAGGTTAGAAGGAATACTCACAGACCAAGTGCCCAGCAGGCTGACCAGCAAGTTGCCACTGAAGCGAGCAGAAAGCATCTGGGAGATGACATACAAGTTTGACACCAGGGCAGACTGAAGGATAATGGGAATGTTGGAAGTATAGAACAGCTTGATGGGGTAGGTGTTGTACTGGCCACGGTAACGAGCAGATTTGATAGGAAGATCCACTCTGAAGCCCTGAAAAGTTTTAAAAAGAAAGTCTCCTGTTACATCTGGACATGAACCCATAAAACCATTTATGACCATGAACCCTGGTCATAAATTACAAGTGCAAAGCCTTGACACAAAAGGAAAAACCTGCAATCATTTTGTGCAAGTACACGTACTCTGCCCAGAGGGCTGTCCATGGGAGTCCTGCAAAGGGCCTGCAAGCCTGCAGGGTTGTCTAAATACACACACACAAGAAGGTATGAAAGATGTAGACATCAGGAAAAAAACCCTGAAGTTTCAAGCAGCCTGAAAAAAGTTTCCGGGAAGAAGAACACTAAAACTTTCTATATTCTTCAGCAGTTTGCAGCAATGAACAGTAAGAGACACACAAGCCTACAGACTTCAAAGCATCTTCCAACAAAAAGCAAAAGCATTTGGGTTAGACAGTGTCACATGTACACATTCTCTGGGTTGTTTGTTTTTGCAGAGACCAAAGCAGATCTCAAGCCTTTTGTGTGGTTACAGTACTAATTAAGAAAGGGCAGTGTACAATGAACATCGAGATGTTACAGGTACAAAAATGAGTCCTGTGAAAATATCATTTCCTGTAGAAGGAAGCAGGTTACAGACCTACTTCCATAGAGTTTTACAATCCCCGTTATTCCAACTGACCTGGAAATAAATTACAATTGCAAAGACGAAGATGGTGGCAATCAGGTTCATAAGGTTGGGGAGATTCTGACGATAAAAGGCCTCACGAAGAGCTCTGACTTTGTCTGTACGAGTAGCCAGAAGGTGGAACAGAGCAATAATGGCTCCCTCAAATTCCATGCCTTGGAAAAGAAAAGGAAAAACAAGTTAGGTGACCTACGATTGTCTCCAAACTTCAGTGCTTCGTCCCATTAGGCATACTTCTGAACTACAGGATTGTGGGATTTCTCAAAGTCTTTTGCATCTTGAGCTCTCATACTTTTACTACTGTCACCCTTCATACCAGCTAAGTTGTTTACAAGATTTTGTAAAAATCCCCTAGAAACTAAATCACAACCCAGCAGTCAAATAGGAGAATTTTATTGGTCTCTAGAAACACTGACATTCACCAAGTTCTTTCTCCCTTTCCTCCCCCTTATTTGAAAAAAAAAAAAAAAGAACAGAGGGAGGCAGCACTTTCTACTGCCACTCACAGGGAGACACTAGTTATTGCTTGGATTACAGCAAAGGGAATAAACTCACTTCTGTTTTCTATTATACAGCTCTAAGCAAGATCATGTCCTGTGGGGTTTGGTGAATAATGTTTTGGGACAAAGTGTAAGAAATGCAGGGAGCAGAAACAGCTGGTATTTGTCACTAAGTCGAGCAGCAGCTGTAATACAAGGGCAGTCTAGCCTTGCTGACTTTCAATGAAGGCACTGTAAGAAACTCAAGTTCAGTAAATCTCTTGTGAGACACTATAAACTGAAACGTCTTTGTGCATGCACTTTGCACAGCTGCACTCGCTGCATTAGCAAGATTCACTACACAGCTAAGAATGCAGTAACAGCATTTGCCATTAAGTTAACATAACGAAAATTTGCCTTTTTGTATAAAATGTTTGTAAAGAACACAGACTATGCCACATTACCTCTGCCTGTGTTCACTGTGGTGGGGCTGAATGCTTTCCACACAATAGTCTCACAGATATTAGTAGCAATGAAGAGAGAGATGCCAGAACCAAGACCATATCCTTTCTGGAGGAGCTCATCCAAGAGCAGAACTATCAATCCAGCAACAAAAAGCTACAGTAAAAAAAAACAAACAGAGCATTAGTTCCATGCTTTTTTCATTTTGTTAAAAAAAAAACCTGTATTAAAAGATAAGAAAAGACCATGCATGAAGAAGGCACACCTGGACCTTTTATCTCTGCATGTGGGACAGGCTGTCCACAATGCAGGCTGTCCAGGCTGATTTTTTGACCCTTTCAGAGGAAGAAAAAGTAGAAAAGACTAGAAATTACCTGGATTGTGATAAGCAAGCAGATCCCAGCACCCATCTCAGATGGGTCTCCATACATTCCAGTCATTACATACACAATAGACTGTCCAATGGTAATGATCATTCCAAACACTATAGAATAAAAAGAAAAAAGTATGTATTTGTTCTGGATGTTTATGTCAGTGGCCAATTAGGGAAATTGTAGAGAAAGTTAGTGCCTTGGTTTCAGCTGGGATAGAATTCATTTCCTTTCCAGCAGCTGGCACAGTGCTGTGTTTCGGATTTAGTGTGAGAACAATGTTGATATCCAATGGTAATGATCATTCCAAACACTATAGAATAAAAAGAAAAAAGTATGTATTTGTTCTGGATGTTTATGTCAGTGGCCAATTAGGGAAATTGTAGAGAAAGTTAGTGCCTTGGTTTCAGCTGGGATAGAATTCATTTCCTTTCCAGCAGCTGGCACAGTGCTGTGTTTCGGATTTAGTGTGAGAACAATGTTGATAACATAACACAGTTTTAGTTGTTCCTCAGCAGTGCTTACCCTAAGTCAAGGACTTTTCAGTGTCCCCTGCTCTGCCAGTGAGCAGGTGCACAAGAAGCTGGTACAGAGCATGGCCAGGACAGCTGACCCCAATGGGCCACAGGGATATTCCATACCACAGAATGTCAGACTCAGCATATAATCTGGAAGGAGTTGGATGATTGCTGCTTGGGGTTGGGTTGGGCATCAGTCAGCAGTCATGAGCATTTGCATTGTGCATCACTTGTCCTTCTTGGGCTTCAGTTCTCTCTCTCCCCCCTCTTCATTACAGTTATTATCATTAATATTACTACATTTTACCTTGTTTCAATTTTTAAACTGTTTCTACGTCAACTCATGAGTTTTGCTATATTTTTCTTATTCTCCCCATCTCACAGGAGAAGAGTGAGCAAGTGGCTTGTGTAATACTTAGTTGCCAGACACAGTTAAACCACAACAGCTGGGAGGGAATATATAAGTCACAGGACTTTTAACTGAAGGGCAAATTAAGTTTTTTGTCTGAAATCTGGCACTGAAATTAGGAATACACAATGACACTTCAGAAATAAATACACTTAGAAGCAGGTGGGTTTGGTTACAAAGATTGCTTTAGATACTGAAAACTCTGAGAGTGTTAGAATGTTACCATAGCAATTTATGATTCTTTATCAGTCAGTAGTGTGGAACAGCATCAAATAGCTGAAGGACACTTAATTTTTTCTAAAAGTCATTCTCAACTGAGCACAGAGACCAATTATTGCTGAGAAAGAACCACAATTCAAACTGCAAGGTATAGACAGCTACAACAAACATCTTAACTTTTTTAGGTTAACAATGACCATCACAGTTCAAAAGTTGAGTCCCCACAGTCTATATATAGCGTCACTTATCTGAGGAGATTACAGCAGCAATGCCAATTGCACAGATACTTTTCCTTTTCACACCTTTCTGAAGCTTAACAGCTAACAAGGCAGAGAGCAGACAGTGAAAGACTGATGAACTACAGACAACTCTAGCTCAGCATGAACACACAACATGACAGAAATCCACACCTCTGCCTGTACCATTCATCACGTGGTCAGTTCACAGTTTCTGCTGTTAGGGTTAGATATTCTAAACCACCAGTGCATAACATGAGCTGTTACTCACATTTCTGGGCTCCATTGAAGAGAGCTCTGTCCTTTGGGGTGTCACCAACCTCAATTATCTTAGCACCTGCCAAGAGCTGCATGATGAGCCCAGAAGTGACAATAGGTGAAATACCCAACTCCATCAATGTACCTGCCAGGCACAGGAAGAACAATGAAAGAAAATAATGAGGTATAACACACTCAGGCACTTTTGAAGTTCAAAGTTTGGCTTTTCCACCTTTTACATTATGATGGAGATGATCTAAAACTCCAAACATCCATTAATGTAAAAGGTATCAATGAGAGCCAAAGGTTGTTAGAAGTCAGTCTGATATGTGGAGAGGCTGTGGATTCCATCTCAGTGGAGATATTCAAGAACCATCTGGATGCAATCCTGTGCCAGGATGTGCTAGGATGGCCCTGCTTGAGCAGGGAGGTTGGACCAGATGACCCACTGTGGCCCCTTCCAACCTAAATGATCCTGTGATTCTGTAGTACTCCTCAGTACCTCAAAAACTATGTTCATTGAAAAAGACTTTTTCTCTCAAGAATAGATTAACTCTGATTTACTGATAAGACAGCCCAAATGATATAGAATGACGAATTCAGGAAACTGTCACCATTCTTGATTCATATTTGCTCAAAAAGCCTCCTCAAGAAATGGAAATTTATATAAATTATCATGAATTTTAATCTTCTTACCTGCACTAGGAAGCCTCTACAAGAAACTGAAATTTATATAAACCACCATGTATTTCAATCTTCTGTGAGACAGACTCAGAGATGCCACCCAGGAAACCACAGCACATGTATAATATGATTTGAAACACAAATCACAAACCTTGAAATACATACAGAAGATTGCAACAGAAGCAATGCAGGAAATTAGGAACTGTCTCTTCCCTAACCATTTCCTTAAAAAAAAAATTACTCTTACCTCTCTACTTCAGTTTTATGTGCAATGCAAGAATAAGTCAAAATCCATTTTGATTCAAACTGAAAAAAAAAAGCCCTCCGGAAGGACTGACCATACCTCTATTTGATGCCAAAATCACTCTCATCCAGTAGAAAGGGTCTGCTGAGTCTGATGACATGATGCCAAACAAGGGAATCTGCATTTCCAACCAAGAGAGGAAAACAGGATTAAATCAGAGGCTTCACAGTATGCTTTAAACATTTCAGCTCTTCCTAAAAACAAGAGAAAGAAACATACCTGGCAGCATACTAAGAAGATGAAGAGTGTGATAGCTGTCCATAGTACCTTTTCCTTAAACTGAATCTAAAGGAGAAAAAACACAAACCCAAAAACCAACATGATAAATTTGCCAGGATAACAAGACCTAGTCAATCAGGCAAACCTTCGTAGCAGCACACTAAATTTTCTTGTAAGGGGTCTAAATACAGAGCATCCTAAAGAAAATAACTTAAAGTACATCCCTTTTTAACCACATAAGACCAAGGAAAATTACAAAGCTTTATTGAAAATTTAATCCAAATAAACAAGCCAATATATCAATGGAAGGTAACTCTAGTACTTCCACAGAAATGAGTCTTACATTTTCATTAGAAAGAGCTTATAGGGAGAAAAAACACAGTACAGAGCAACTTATTTTAGCAAATAATCTTAGATTAGAACTTATGAAGCCAAGATTTTCAAGTTGCTGTTTTAACTTACTCTAGTTTACACTCCAATGCTTTCAACATCTCACCACCCACTGCTGTGGCATGTGCAAATCTGCACAACTGCATTTGCCAGCAAATACGTTCTACAACCACATCCACCACAGAGGATGCACCAGACAAGCACTTTGCCAAGAACAATTGTGCCTAAAACTGCTGCTCTCCCAGCAGGAAGAAGTCCCAAATCCCACAAATGCAAACTGCAAATGTTTTATACTATACAAATACAAACCCGTGAAGAAAATTTTACTGACCTTCCGTTCTGGCTTTTGGATCTCAGGCAAAATTACACAGAAGGGCTTGATCACTTCAAGGAATTTTACTGGAGGGAAATTAGGTAAAAGAAAAATGAACACACAGATGCAGCAAACACTGGGAAAAGCTCAAGCAGAACTGAATTTGGACATGCATTTTATATACCAAAACTCCCAGCCTGAGAATTTTTTTTTGTTTGGCTGGTTAGTTTGCAGGTTGATTTTTGATTTGGTTTGGGGTTTTTGTACTATTAAATTCTTATCTGTTCTAAACACAGAGAGATTCAGCCACTGCATTTTATGTACAGTATTTTAAATACACAGACAGGATTAAAAAACAAAGTCAAGAGTTTTTCTATTTCACTGAGTAGGCTGACCATGCCAAAAAACCTTCTGCATTGCTTTCCAAGAGTTTATCAATACTTTTGAACTTTTTCTTCATAATAGCTTCTCCTATAGCCTGATACTTGAGAAAAAAACTTCCTTGGGTATTGTATAAGTCTTAGGTTACTTTTGGGCCATACAGCTGAAGAATTCCTACACACAGTTCATAAGCAACAATTCCAGTTACCATGATCCCTCCCAGCCAAAACGACACGTCTTCAAACAGAAAAGTCTGAGAACCAGCACACAAAAGAAGAGATTTGCAAAGTCACAAGTTCTCCCATGAGCAGAGAGATCTGATTTCGAACAGAGTTAATGCTCAAGTTGTTAAGATAGATCTAAGACTGCACACTTATTTTGGACTGATTTGAACTAAAACCAGCAACACAGTCCAGAAGAACTGAAACCACTGGTGGCTTCCACTTCATCATGGAAGGCTACAATTCAGGGGCAACATGGTAACAGTTTTAGACCAGCCCACAAGAGATATTTACTTCGTTTCAAACGATTATAACTGACACGTTACCCTGGACTGTTGCCTGAAATGCAGAGCAAACCAAGACTCACTCCTACATCTACCATAATACACCAATGTCTAAGATGCTTTTCAAGCAGCTTTTCCCCAGGCAGGCGACTCTGCAGATTCCCCCGGACTCGGATCGCTCCAGACTCGGACACAGTTTGTTGCTCGCTCTGAGAATGCACCTGGAAGCCTCACGGCCAATGACCCAGGTGAGAGCCACCTCCCCGTGCCCCGGCACTGCACCTGGCACCCTCTGCCCGGGGCGGCCGGGCGGAGAGGCGCGGGCACACCGCGCGAGCTCTCTCCCTGAGATGAGCTGCCACCCCCAGG